AGGATAAAAAACAAAAAAAAAAAAAAAAAAAAAAACCCAACCTCAAGCCCTCCCTGCAACAAAGGCTATTGCTACATCGATTTTTAATTTTCTAGAAACAGATGATTTTATTAAGTTAAAATCATATGGTTGCCTCTTACTTGAAGAATTTGTTGAATTAAAAATTAATGCCTGGATTTAATGATAGAGATTCTGTGTGAGGGTATAGCATATTAATACGAAATGTGTGATCTTGAACTGTGAGGGTACTTTTGATTTGGCTTTGGGTATTCAGTTTTTCATTTTTAAAAAGTTAATTTTTTCATGTGATTCTAGGTAATACCGTAGAGAATTGCCCATTTTTGTGATCTCTAAGAGATAAGTATTGGAGTTAAAAATAGAAGCTATGAAGAAAAAAATCACTTGATAATCGAGGTGATCATGTAGGTTTGAAATTCTAGTTTACATTTATTAAAAGATTGGTCAGTTACTGTTTTCACATTGTTTAATTAAATATTAAAAGCCAGTGAAATCTACAGATGAAAATAGATTTCATGGTTTATTTTCTTCTCCAGTTAGCCAGATACCTATCGATATTAAATTGCACTTGAACAGTTTGTAGCAGTGCTTGGCTACACACCTGAGCATCAATTCTAAACGCTGACTTGGTGTTTCATAGTGCATTTGCCAAATTGTGCTCTTCAATAATAGTAATCTTTCCTTGTAGTTGTAGTTGGGTATGAGGTGACTCGTTAGAGATGGCTTGAGGGTTTTATGTTTTATTCTATTAATTTGAGATTATCATTAAATAGAGAGGAGATGAGGGAGATTACTGATATTTGTGTAAAGCCTTTTATATATAAGAACCTCAACTATGCTGTATTTTCTTTAAGAAAAATGCTTTTAACTTAAAAAAAAAAGTTGAAGCCAGAGATTCAGAACGAAGTGCTTATTAAAATGAGCATTTCTCTTTTATTTTGAGTAAATAAATGTTTGGGGTTTTTTGGTGGTGGTTGCTTCAGTTTTTCACATTCTGGGTGGAGGGAACACGAATGATGCCGTGTTGTGCGAGAAAGAATGGTAAGTTGGACACATTTACTAAAAGTCCCAAGAGCTATGAAAACCAGATTTCTACAGGAACTATTTATACATATTCGATACTTTTAAACTTGCTAAATATTTGCGGTCTACAGCTGAATCACTCTTCCAAGTCTGTTAATGAAACCCTCAAAGTAGATGAGCAATTGGTCGGAGTTGTTAGAGGATATTATTTGAGCTAAGTATGTCATCGCTCTGATTCAGTGGGGTGTGTTCAAGTGTGTGTGTTGTGGGGGACAGTAGTTTCACACAGATGGTATCAGGAGGGAAGAGGAGGAGACCTTTAATTGAGCAACAGTTGCTGTGGGTTTCAGTCCTGACAAGACTAGTGAGGACAGCTAGATGGTGGAATCTTGGTAGCAAAGGGAATCAAGCGTGGTAACGGTTGCCTCGAGTGATAGGTCGCTTGTCGGTGGTTCACTTTGTCGGGGAAGCCAAGTCATTGGTACCTGTCGTGGCTTTTTTAGTGATCATGCTGCTGGAAGGACCGTGCAGCGTAAAACTGAGCGTCCCTCTTTAGGGTGTAGAGATGTCCTTTCTCAGGAGGGAGTC